CAATTGTGTAAAGCGCATTTGTACATCGTTTCTCAAAACATTTTCTCTCCACTTAAACCCCCGACATTAGGTCCTCATTTTTCCCCTCCCTCCCCGATGATGACGTTTTAAGAAAATTAAAAACTTCATTGGTGAGAAATAAGCCCTGAATGTAGCTCTGTGGAACCTTTTTCCATCATGACAATACACCTGATCCCTCGTCCAGGGTAGCAAGGCCTGTCCTGAAGAAGTTCATGGGGAAAACTGACCCTCTCCACTCCCCAGCCTCGGGTTTGCCTCTTTCCAGAACTCTGAGAATCCTGGAAAAAAGAATACCATTTGAATCCCTTGAGATACCAAAACTGCCATTCTGACAGGGTTTAATTCAAAGAGCCATAAATGCTTTGCAGGAGGGTTAGAAAGATGGAAAGACTGCTTTTAGAAGGGTAAGATAAAAGATATGTAAAAAGAAAATAATAACGTTACATTTTGATCCCCCAAACAGTTTTATTGGCACATCATTTACACATCATATAATCCAATTGTTCTTTCATATCAAGGAAAATTGTACAATCATTACCACATCAATACATTTTGATATTTTTGTTTAATAAAGGTTTCTGTGATTCTGTCGCAAGACTTTGTTGCTTACTCTCATATTCATGGTAAGTGAATCGATGAGTTAAACGTGAGCTAAATACGTTTATAAGTGAAAGACGATGTGTAAATCATATGGGGGCGTGGTGGCGACACGGTAGGCTGCTAACCACACCGTCAGCCGTTTGCAATCACCTGTCACTCTGAGGGGGAACAGGAGACGGTCCCTTCAAGAGGGACCCTCTCAGAAGCTCCCCAGGGCTGTCCTCCCGCCCTGCTCTTTTCATGGGCACGGAGTTGATGGCAGTAATACATCTGATACCAATTAACTTGCTGCCGGCTCAAGCGATCTAACATTTTTGCTGAACTCATCTCCAGTCTTTTGGGGCAGGGACCTGAGCCTTGGTTGCAGGTTAAACAAAAACGTTGACACTCAGGCGTCAGTCCAGAACAACCGATCAGAAACCACGGGACTGAGGACAGAGCATTGGTGTTTTCTGCAGGACATGGGCACACTTCAGACACAAAATTTACAAAATAAATTCCGCTACCAACATCATATTTAAAATAATAAACTTTTAAATAAAAATCCATGACACAAAATATTAGAAAAATTAAATAAAGGCAGCATTCTGAGTTTGCACTTACACAATTGGCTTCATCCTAATCTCAGTCCTGATGTCAACGAAACTTTAGTTACAAACACAAGTCAGTAGTATCTGGCCCCCATTTTGCCAGTTTGATCTTTTAAAATATTGCATTAAAATGTTGTTATCTTTATCACCGAGGGGGGTGTGTGTGCAAAGAATGTGAAGCTTACATTCTTCTCTGAAAGTTCTGAAACACGCTGCAGGGCTTGATTGTGCAGCAGTAGCAGTTCGAGAACCCTGGTTTACATATTCCGGCAAAATTTCCCTAGTTGGTTTAGCTCTTTGCTTCCTTAACTATAGATGTTCACTGCTCACATCCCATAAGATAAAAACTTGTGCCCCATAATTTTGGGTGCCGTTGAGACTGAAGTGCAGTAACCCCAGTTTTTCCAGGGAGCTAATGCTACACACCTGGCTGAGAAATACGTATTTGCAAAGTGCTGAATGTGTCGGGAGCTGGACTGGCCAGGAGTGGTCCAGTGGGTAAGCATTGAGCAGGAGGTTCAAGCCCCTTGCCGCTCTACAAGAGAAGCCCCTGGGGCTGGGGCAGTTCTATTCTGTCCTATAGAGTCACTAGGAGTCTATAGGAGTCTCGACAGAGCTGTGTTTGGTATTTGGATTGCACTTGCCCCAGGAACCATAAAAGGGAACACAGAAAATACTGTCCCTAAGGACACAGTGTGTACAAGAATCTATGTATAACCTCCTCCCTGGGGGATGGACAGCAGAGAAGGGGGCGAGGGGAGAGGTCGGACAGTGTAGATATGACAAAATAATTTATGGATTATGAAGGGTTCATGAGGGAGGGGGGAGTAGGGAGGGAGGGGGAAAATGAGGAGCTGATATTACGGGCTCAAGTAGAAGGCAAATGTTTTGAGAATGATGATGGCAACAAATGTACAAATGTGCTTGACGCAATGGATGGATGGTGATAAGAATTGTACGAGTCCCCAATAAAATGATTTTTTTTAAAAAGGACACAGTGTGGACAGAAGCCTCATCAGTGAACAGGCAATTGTAATACGTCGAGGCCAGTGCTAAAATAGGTAGAAAAGTTTGGGCGAGAAAGTGCTATCTAAGCCAGAAACGGAGTGGCGGTGGGCGGGGAAAGGCTTATTGTACCAGAGGGAACCGTGTGGTATAGACTGGGAACCTACAGCAGTTCAGAGTGATGCCTGTTCAGATTCTGATAGACGAACCATCCCCTAAGCTTCCCAAGGACGTAATCTTTTTTTTAAATTTTTAAAAAATTTTTGGACGTAATCTTTATGGAAGCAGTCGGCCACATCTTTCTTCCGCAGGGCTGCTGGTGGGCTCAATCTCCGAGCTCCTAGGGCGCCTTCTGGCCGCAGGAGGTTAGGGCCCCAAAGGCCCGACCTTTGGGTAATACCTGTTGATGTGTTCCTTTATACCTGTAGCCCGTGTCAATCGACAGAATTGACGCAGAGGGCATTAGGCATAACGCGGAGGACATAGTTCACGATGGCCTGGACAATCCTCGGAGGAGGGAGTTTGACCCCAAGCCCGCAGCGCGCTCAGGCTGGGTTTCGCGTGCGAATTTTCCGCGGTCCGGCCGCCGCTCTTCCCGGCGCGGGCAACAAAGGCTGGAGGACCACTGAGACGGCGAGGCCTCCCGCGTCCTAGAGAGGACCCGGAAGTAGCCTGGGTGTCCGGAGGCCGGGCTGCCTCCGCGTTCGACTGCTCGACGGTCATTTAGAAGTTAATTGTCAGTTCCCCCTCACCCACTTGGAGCTCCTGGGGAGAAGATCGGATTCGCTGACTGCGCGGCGGTGCTGGGGACCCAGCCAGTCAGAGGGTAGGTGGTTCCTGGGCGCCGCGGAGGGAGCCGCCGAACGGGCCGACGGGGCCAGAGTTGCGGTCCGGTTTTCCGGGCTGGCGCCCCCCGGCGCTTCGAACTCGCGACTCCGCCCGAAGTGGTCCTTGGCTCTAGGCAGAGCCGGATCGCTGAAGACCCCCGTCTTCACTGGCCCGCGCTCCTTCGGCAGGAGCGAGTCTGTTACTCCCCTGCCCCGCCAGCCTTCCGACTGCAAGGTTACTTGTGTGCCTCTCTCGGTTTGAGCGAGAGGGTGCCCCCAAGTTATTCGGGATGATGGTTTAGTTGGCTCCTCTTAGCTCTGCGCCCACTGTTTTATCATGACTTAGAGATACTGTTTGCAAAAGCACTTTGTGAAGTGTGAAGCACTATGTGAAGGTGAGCTGGTTGTATAAAAACAACCAGCGGGCAGGGGTCACAGCTACCCCTAAATCCCCTGGGATCGCCCAGGAGTGGGGCAACCTTCTTTGGCCTTGTGTTTGGTTTGGTGACTTCTTGTCTCTTACAGCTCCTCCACTCCGACAAGAACCTGGAGAAGACTATCTTAAGCGAGAATGCTGTACACGTTCTGAGGGAGTTGTTTCAAGCCAGTCAACCATGAAGCCACGAGAAGTTGCCTCCAAGTTCCCCCTCCAAGTTCCCCAGGAGCCCGTGGGGCTTCAGATCGTGAAGGTAGAGGAAGATGAACATACTTGGAGGCAAGACTGCGGCTTTCAAAGGAAACCAACGCATACCCGGGAGATCTTCCGCCTGAGGTTCAGGCAGTTTTGCTATCAAGAGACTCCTGGGCCCCGAGAGGCGCTGAGCAGGCTCCGGGCGCTGTGCCGGCAGTGGCTGCGGCCCGAGCTGCACAGCAAGGAGCAGATCCTGGAGCTGCTGGTGCTGGAGCAGTTCCTGACCATCCTGCCCGCAGAACTGCAGAGCTGGGTGCGGGAGCAGCAGCCAGAGAGCGGGGAGGAGGCGGTGACTGTGCTGGAGGATTTAGAGAGAGAGCTGGATGAACCCGGAGAGCAGGTGGGAGAGAGAATGTAAGGGATTTAGATCTCTTGTGGGGATAGGCATCTGCCCAGCCATTGGGGGCGCAAACACATTTCCATTTTTACAAGTCCAGAGCTACTTGTTTCTGGTTTCTTTTTTTTTTTTTTTCTGGTTTCTGATTTCGTCTTTCTCTTTGGATAAGGACAGATTGTTTTGTTGTTCCCTATTGGCATTAAAAAAAAACACAAAATAAAAAACTCTGGTGGTTACGAGTTGGACTGTTAACCACAAGGGTAGCAGTTCAAACCCACCAACCACTTCTCGGGCAAAAGAAGAGGCTTTCTGTTTCTGGAAAAATTTAGTCTTGGAAACCCAAAGGGGCAGTTCTACCCTGCCCATGGGTTGGATGAATTGGAATGGATTCAATGGCAGTGAGTTTGGTTTGGTATTTCCACTTATCTCTAGGAATTTTAGCTCTGGCTCCTATAGTAATACTCTCATGACCCATCTTTACCATTTTTTTTTTAAAACTAGGGTCCTGTTAGCTCACACGAAATGCCTTTCAAGGAGAAGGAGCCTATGGAAACAGCACAGGAGTCAGCATGTTTAAAGTTGCCCCTGGCAAACCAGTTAAGAAGTGAATCTTCACAACCCAGCCACCCCCTACAGGAGAATGGTAAGGAGCAAGGTTCAGTCTGGTACAGAGTGGGTGGAGAACAGAGGTGCCCCCGAGCTGCTCATGGGAGACAGAGCAGAATTTGCAATTGTGGTTTATGCGCGTGTACCTCAAGGAAGTCTGGATTCCTGACTCTTGCTGTAAATGCTTCACAAGAGCATATGAATCTCCTTCCCCACTCATGGGGCGGGAAGGCCACAGGTCTCCCTTTTCCCTGGGAGGTGTTCAGTTGCATGATTCTAAGCAGGCCCCACCCAGGATCCCTATCTATGAGTTGGGATGCTAACCTCAAGGTCGGTAGTTTGAGACCACCAGGTGCTTCGTGGGAGAAAGATGGGGGTTTCTACTCTCACAAAGAGCTACAGTCTCGGAAACTCACAGGGACAGTTCTACCCTGTCCTGTAGGGTTGCTACGAGTCAGAATAGACTTGATAGCAGTGAGTTTGTTTGTTTGTTTATTTGTTTGTTGGAAGCACCCTCATAGGATCCCCTAGGAGGGGTAGATGGTTAACTGCTTGACAACTAGAGGAAAGGTTGTTAGCACTCTGAACCCACTCAGAGGTAGCTTGGAAGACGTGCCTGGCACAATGCCTAAAAGACCGCAGACAACAGTTGTCTTCTGCAAACATGGGGTCTCCGTTAGTTGAAGCCTCTGTTCCACAACTCACACAAAAAACCCCTGTAGGAAGTTAGGCAGAGTTTTCTTTTGAAAGTGGATTTCATTATTGTGGGGTTTTAAAATTTTTATTATTTTTTTCATTATTGTGGTTTTTAATTGAGAATATAAATACTGTACTGCAAAACAGACAGTAGTTCAACAGTGTGAACATGTCAAGGTCAGGGACATCCATTCTGTTCCCTGAGTTGGATAGCCACTCCCAGCCTCCTTCCCTGTGTTGTGTCACCCCCCCACCCCGCCCCTGCGCACATAAACTCACTGCTCCCGGAGTTTCCGGTCTCATTGGATCCCTTAAAGGTAGCTCTCTTGAAAAAACACAATGCTTAAGGCAGACGTTCTTTACTCAAACTATTAACTCCCACTACTGTTTGGCTTTAACATTAGCTCAGGGATGATAGTTTCGGGGAGTTCATCTAGGCTCCATAGCACCAGAAAGTCTAGGATCCTTGAGGATTTGAAGTTCTGCATTTTTTCACCTTTGATCAGGATTCTTCTGTAGAATCTCTGATCAAAATGTTCTGTGGTGGGAGCCCGATGCCATCTGCTTCTGGTCTCAAGGCAGAGGAGCAGGCGGCCACACCGAGTACTTGTTCCTCCTCCCTCTGTGGCTCCAGGCCAGTGGTGCTCCACCTTCTCATGCCAAGACTCTTTCATACAGTTCCTCATGTTGTGGTGACCCCCAACCACAAAATTATTTTCGTTGTTACTTCATAACTGTAATTTTGCTACTGTCATGAATTGGGTGACCCCTGTGAAAGGGTCGTTCGACCCCCAAAGGGGTCGTGAGAACCGCTGCTCCAGGTGGATAGAGACCAGCTGTTGTGCCTGGGAGGGCAGCTTGCAGGCGTTTAAGGCCCCGGGTGAGGACCATGCAACAAATTAGGGGGTAGGACAGGGGTACTAAATATGTTATTCCTTTCATGATTCTTGGCACAGAACGCTGGCTCTTGGGTTTTCTGGGCAGCAGCTTTCCTGTATTGAGTGTATATGCAGCCAGATGGGGTCCTCTTTAACCACGTGAAGATGAAAAAAGTGGGTGCTGGTATCGCATCTCTGTTGAAAAGGGAGTGTTTTGGGTGTTGCAAGGTATGGTCTTGCAAAACTTTTTGCTTGTTTTGGCTTTTTTACTGGGAGACGTGCCTCGGAAGTACACTTCCTAGCCTATGTGCTCAGGAAGGCACCCTGGTGGGTTGAGCATTGGCTGCTAACTGCAAGCTCAGCAGTGTAAGCATACTGCCCACTCAGTAGGAGTACAGTGAAGCTGTGTTGTCTAAAAAGCCTGAAGGAGCAGTTCTACTCGGTGCCGGAGGGTCGCTATGAGTCAGCATGGGCTTGAGGGCAGTGAGGATGTGCCAAGGGGAATGTGCTTCTCATGAAAATAGGTTACTCTTAGGCCTCAATGCTTTTGGAGGAGACCGCTGATGGTGTGCATGTCTTTAGAGCTCCCGTCATCTGTTCGTCATCTTGCAGTCCTCCAGGATGTTCCTCGTGTTTCGAGCTGTACGGAGTGCTGTCTCCATAGCAGGGAGTTCACTGTGGTGGTGGCTTTCCACTGCAATGGAATCATTTGGTTTCACCAACACCAGCTCCCTTGGTTTTAGCGATCTGTGCTGGACGCTTGGATCAGGACGTTTGTTTGGAAGCATGCGATAGGTATGTGCCTAGCTCTGTGGAACCAACAATATTGTTTTTCGGAAAGGTCCCTCTGTTTTAGAAATAGGAAAGAGATTTAGAACCACCGAAGACTTTCTAGAGTATTTGTAGAGGAGCACTTGGAGGAGGATGAGTGTGGTGAGGGGCCCTCGGAGGAAGAGAGGCCTGAGGAGGCCTCCCAAGACCATGCTAACCTTGAGCTGTCTGCAGCGCGTTCTGAAGGTAGGGACAATGACACCAAATGGTCTGGTGCAGACAATGATGCCAAGGGAGGCGGCAGGCCGCGACGATGCCCCTGGCCAAAGGGAAGGAAGTGCAGGGGCTGGTGGTGCGAGGGCATCTCCTACTTTGACAGTCTAACCACCTCGCTTCAGCAACATGCCCAAGGACAGCCTGACTGCACTGATGTTGGTGCAGAGATAGATGACTTCTAGTCTGTGTTTACAGAAGAGATTTTGGAAACTATAAAGGACCAAACAAATCTACCCAGGAACGTACCAGACGATATAGAGGGCAGGAGATCAAAAGGTCAACCGAAAACTGGCAGCCTACAATGGTGGAGGAAATAAAGGCTTTCATTGCCGTGCACATCCTGATGGGTATCCACGCCCTGCTGGAGCTCAGGCATTACTGGTCCAGTGACCCCCTCTTAGGTGTTGCCTCGGTCCCGGACCTTATGACGAAAACCAGATTCAAGAAACTGACAGAGAACATACACTGCAACGACAATTCCAAGGCCGTGCCCAGAGGGGAGCCCGGCTATGATCGGCTGCACAAGTTGCGCCCAATCATCAGAGCTCTCAACAGCCCCCTCAAGGCAGTGTATGTGCCCTCCAGTGTCATGGCAGTCGATGAAAGCACGGTGCCATTCCGGGGCGCTCCTCGGTCTAGGAGGGCGTGCCCACAAAGCCCATCAAGCG